TGTTAGCCAAAAACCAAAAAATAGTAGCCAGCAAGAAAAAGAAAATATGGAAAATGCAACAGCACAAAAAATGAACTCGTACTCGTATTTAAAAACTTGCTGAAGAGCTACGCAGGCAAGGCAGGAGAGTAACTTTTTATTTTTTTTTTTGCTAGTACTTTCCTACTTTTTCGCTGTAATCACTTTATTTGTATGCATTTACACTGTTGTATAGCGGAAATCCATTTTATACTCAGCCACGCGTGCAAAGTTGCATACGAGTACATATTTACATTCACAGCCTGGCACACCACGAGAAAAAAAAACGTGTGTATTTACAGTTAATTCCTTTTGATGGAAAAATCGTTATTGCGCTGAATGGTTTAACGAAATGGGCAAAACGTAAAAACAGTGCAGGTGCCTAGTACATAAATGTGGAAAATGTGAAGCCGCATTGCATTCAGCCTCGCCAAAAAGAAAGCGTTACCAGCGACTCATTGCATTTGGCTAATTCGACGCCCACACACCCCACCTGCGCTTGTATGTATGTGGATGGTTAAAGCATGTGCGCTGGAGTAGCTGACAGCCTTTTAGGAGAATATGTTTTAAAGCAATTCGTATAGTAGTTATAATGGCTCATAAAAATAAGTAGTAAGCATGTGATTCCTTTACTTGTTAATGCTTTTCGGTTTGTGTGTGCATTCAACATTGAAGATGGCCTAAAGGCCGATAGTATGTATGTAAACTTTTGCAATGGTAGATATGAAGGCGCACTCACTCCCACGCACGTTCATAGTTAGCAAATAGCATAACCGCTATAGTCACCACCCTCTGCCCACTCACTAACCAGCCACGCAACAAGCGGGCGTTCAGCGTGCTTTCCAATGCCGTTCGCGCCATAAACACTAATGTTGTTCGTCCAGATATACAATTTCATATAAAAATTACTCAGGTTACGTTGCTCATAAAAAGCTTAATCGTAAATGTAATCGTGGTTTATATGGGGTATACATAGGTAATGGGTTGAAAGAAAAGTGGAAATGGTAGCTTATGCGTGTACATACATACACCAGAAAGGACACATAAAGATATGAACAAGGTGTGCTGGACTTACTTTTTAACCGACTTCACAAAATAGAGAATATTTTTTTTTTATGTATGTTACCGCATAACTTAAGACCACGTTAACCGATTTCTATAATTTAAAGGAAGTGTATTACCTCACAGGTGGTCGCATATTAATTTGGTTTAAATCCGTTCATCGGATCATGAAGAAATTAGCGGTAATCTTAAATTTGTATATGAGAATTGAAGTTGGTTTTGTTTTTTGCTTAAAAATTACTTGTTTTAATTAAACGACACTAATTTGAATTTAGTGAAATTATAAAAATAATACCAATTTCATTAAAAAAATTATGGATATAAAAAATATAAGCAGTATCAGGATAGCAGAAATCTTTTGAGACAGTAATCGAAAAAATAATCAGTAAAACAACCCTTTTCACATTCGAAACTGCATTTTTCCCCACAGGGCCATCGCGAAAAGTGGGGCATTCAATTTTGAAATTTGAACCGATCTTAATGAAATTTCGCACACTGGTGTCATTTAGCCCAACTTAAAAGATAGGGATAGGGTAGATTTTATCCCGTTTAGACAAAGGGGCGCGGCAACTCCCATACAAACGGTATTTTTCATACCGCATACCTCTGGAAGCACTATTTGTGGTAGATATATGAAATCAATACTATACTCACAGACTGAATTTTTTATACTACAACCTGTTAAAAAATTTACTTCAACTCAAAGTATTTTTTAAGTTAAATAAATTATTACAAAATGGATGTCGATCGAGTCGTTATATCCCAGAAATGGTTACTGGTTTCATAACGGCTTTTAGACATAATTGCATGATCTACACTTTTGTCTAATCTATTTTTATGATAAACCTTACGGTTTGACCTTAAAAATTTTTTTTTTACAGATCTGGGATCGATAAGAACTTTTCACATATCATTTATAATGACGTTCGTAACTTTCATACCAATTTTTAGCTTTATGCGAGTTACTGCAACCTTGAAAATCTAACTTGACCGGGCAAACAGAAAACAATTTGGTAAATATGGTTTAGATAGAGTAGCAATTAAAAAATATTTGTTAGTTAAAGTAAGTATGTATGTACTTATGTATGTATGTATGTATATAAATGTATAACTACTCAATATGTTAATGAACACAAGCATACATACATAAATATCAAGATTGCGCCGATTGCAGCAGAACTCGTGAGAGTAAAGGCCCGTCCACATAGAACTTTGGCGTTGCGTTGGCGTTGGCGTCGCTTCAACAGCTGACTATGAATACATGAATTCAAACGCAGCCGTCCACATAGCCAAAATTCGACAACGCTCACGCCAACACAAAGCAAAAAGATGGCCAACTCTCATCTTTTCGCGTGCGTCGCTCGTCAGCTGTTGCAAATAAATAAAATTATGTGAAATATTTTCCTTTTTAATCAAGTGCGGGCAAGAAATATCGTTTTTAATGCAATTATTGATATGAAATATTAATTTATCTGTCGTTAGTATGTTAATGTAGTGGCCCAAGCATTCGCTGCCAAGCGCTCATTGTAGCAAGCATACTTTTAACGTGCGTTCTGTCAAACCAACGCCAACGCCAAAGCCAACACGAAAGTTCTATGTGGACCGGCCTTAATTTTGGCGTGACGTCGCCGTAAAGTTGACAACTGAAAGCGGCAAATAAAACTGCTGTCTAGTGATATGCTGAATTGTCGGTACCCAATACTTAAAAAAGGTTTTGGTACCCAATACTTCCTAATCGGTACCCGGTACTGATTCTTTACATTAAACCTTCGTCATTATATGCATTTCAAGTTTAGAAAAAACTTTCATTACTAATTTATATGACATCGGCTAAAACACTTGAACTTATCGCAACAGAGAAATATTATTTTATCAGTTTTAACCTTAGTGGATCCAAGGTTCATGAAAAATACTTTGACGGATGCAGAAGCCTTTCAGGGGGGAGATTCCATACGTCAGCAAAATCGATACCGATTCGAAAATTGTCACTAACTGGTTACAGAATCTGCCCGCAGGCCTACAAAAATGATATCGTCCGATTCAACTAGAACAAAAATGATTCAAACAAGTAAGAGTTTCTCTGTATTATGGCCTCAAACCGACATATATTTATAAATCTTTCATTTGAATCAGTATTAAAAGCTCTATTGACATTCGGTTTCCGATAGGCGAGTCTCCCCGGAACCGTTTTTTCCATATTTTTGGCCTATGTGCCCTTTTATTCGAAACCTAAATGTTTCGGTACCGAGTATCGAGAGTATTGGATACTTAAAAGTATTGACTCAGCACATCACTACTGCCGTCATCTCGACTGTGTCGTCAGCCAGCAAAACAGCTGATTCTGTCAAATTCACTGAGAGCCGCGATTAGCGGTGTTGCCATCGGCGCCACCTTCTGTATTCTCTCCACTGTGCATCATATGTATGCAGCTATGTGTGTACACACATTGTATATAAATATGAATTAACATACCTTTATATGCGCTCAAAAATATTTTAGCATTTTGCACTTTACACAAGCCGTTATCTTTGCCCATGCGCCGCCATATTAGCGAACTTCGCTGGCGGCGCATCGGCGATATCACTTTTTATTTAATATGCTTCCACTTCATCACAAATAATGGATTATATGTAAATCTCAACTTAAATACACACTGTAAACACCTAACAAAACAAATTTTTGCACTTAAATACTTAATTTAAATCACAATTTAATAAAACTGTTCACGAAGCGCAGAAAAACGAGCAGCAAACACTAACGAAAGTTGAAACACGACTGAGGATACGGAATTGGAGATGGCAAAAACACAGAGAGGAAGGAAATCAAAATTTAAATTACAATACATATTCAATGATAGTTGTGACACAAACCTCATAAAAAAGAAATCAAATAAATTTAGATTTTGCATGTACTACTAAAAGTATTTCACATGACTCACCCTTTGATTTGATCGAAATTTATGTAGGCACCTAAGCGTACACGTCACTGCTATGTATCTATATACAGTTGCCAGTGTTGCCATTTTGACCTTTTGGGGCTACATTTAGCTCTTTTCATTTTAAATTGCCCAGAAATTTGCTCTTAGCCTCTAGCTCTTTTTTTGGCACTTTTAAATTTGAAACAGCATTTTGGGGCGCCAAAAATCGTAACTTAATTTTAAACATTAAATTTAAACATTTCTGCTGTTTGTGTGGAAAAACACATTTCCGACTGAAAGAGCGATTGTAACAAAAATTTAAATTGGACGCTTTTATTAAATTTGTCTAAAGTTTAACATTTTCTGTCCGATTTGGGCGTTTTTATGCTTCACACTTTCGTTATAAAATTGTCCTTCGCCTAACTTTTTTAATTACTTTTATTTACAAAGTTTATCAACTGAAAGGAATGAATAAAAATGAGCAATTTTCGAAACGGCTTAAAAATTTCCTTATCTTTCGAGTTTAAACGCCTGAGACCCAAAAAGTACTATGTATTCCCATTGACAACGTAATGAGACTAAAAATTTCTTTCAGATAACTTTCGAAGAAGATTAGTTGTGTTGCTTCTCTGGAGTTTTTTTTTTTGCAATAACTAAAAACGACTTAGGAAATAGGTTATTGCCTATATCTCGAAAACACTTACTTGGAAATATAAATTAGACTTATTTTCATGTTTAGCGCCCCTAAATCAGTCTAACAACTTGTGTAATTAATGAATTTGTAATGTAACTTTTTACCGATATTTTAAGCAAACTCGCAGTCGACATATAAACCTTATTTTTCATATTTACAATAAAATGTCAATTTAAAAGCGCAAAAATGGGGTCATATGTTTACAATTTAAACTGCGAAAACGTCATACATATAACATACTTGTAATGTGTACGCATTTTTCACTCATGTTTCCCTATTTTCTTTTTTTATTATTCAATTGCAGGCTTTCGCATCCTGACACGTTTTGTGTGCGAGCCTATACAAGAACTTTATCGGAATAGCATTTCCGTAAGAGGAACAAAAGCAGCTACAATACGCTCCTTACTACTTGCTGCAACGACTGCTGTAACAACAGCAGCACGCACAACAACAACAAAAAACAAACATTCAGAAAATGTCCATATCAAAAAAGTGCACATATCTCGCTTTTATGTCACGGCCGCGCAGAACTCCGGCCTGCGAATGCACCAACAGCCATAGTTGCAGCCACAGCCACAAACAGAACTGTAAAGGTAGTTACCACCCACCTCATCAGCACCACAACCATCATTACCAACCAAGAGCATACATTCCATCCAGTTGCTGCACAACGACAACGACTCGTCTCGGCTTTGTTGCAATCCTACTGATGTCGTTGTTGCTGCTTAGCACCCAACTGCACTCCACAGAAGCCAAACCCAAGTCGCGTAAAAGTTCCAGCAGTCATCACAATAACGATGAGAAATCACCATCGGAGGGTCAACGCTTTGCAATGGAGCCGCAAGACCAAACCGCTGTTGTGGGCTCACGTGTTACGTTGCCGTGCCGCGTGATGGGCAAGGTGGGCGCACTGCAATGGACCAAAGATGATTTCGGGCTGGGGCAGCATCGTAATTTGAGCGGCTTCGAGCGTTACTCGATGGTGGGCAGTGATGAGGAGGGCGACTTTTCGTTGGATATTTATCCGGTGATGCTAGACGATGACGCCAAATATCAGTGCCAAGTGGGACCTGGGCCGGAGGGTGAGGCGGGCATACGTTCACGTTTTGCCAAGTTGACGATACTGGTGCCGCCGGAAGCGCCGAAAATTACACAGGGTGAGGTGATATTTACAACGGAAGACCGTGAGATAGAGCTGGAGTGCGTGTCGGCGGGAGGCAAGCCAGCGGCCGAGGTGAGTGGAAGACGCTTTTATTGCTATCAAAAAGTTACGTATGGGTGGGGAATACACACTTTGCGTTGAGTTGCGTAATAAAGAAAACACTTTTGATTTAGTCGAACTCAATAATTTTCACAATTCCGCCGGAACTACCACAGAACACAGTTGACATTTTGGTTCCTCGTTCCTTCTTGTACGTATGAATAGTGAAATGCTTCTCGTTGGCATTTTGTTCGCTATTCCTTATGCTCGATTTCCACTAGGCATTAAATGGCAAAAATGACAAATGACAAGTTGGGCATTAAAAAATTTTCGTGTCCATTATACTGAGTTTCGCCTGAAAAAAAATTCACCCGAAAATTTGGCATCCGCCCACAGTAAAACCATGGAAAGGAACCAAAAGTGAAACGTGAACCGGTGCGGGAAAAATGAAACTCGTGATAAGGCTGATTAAGTTAATTTTCACAGGGTATTTTTTTCGTCATTTCAATGCCTAGTGGAAATTCGGCATTAAGGTTCTTCGTTCTACGTATTTGTAATTGAACACTACAAAATTTTGCAATTTTCACAGAATATTTCTTGTGCAATCCGATTGTGCTGTTAATTATTATTTTTTTATTTTTTTTTTATATTGGCAAAAAAGTACTGGTAATAAAAATTGCCGGTATTTTTTATAATTTTAGTTATTTTAGTGCATATCCGGAGAGGGTGACACCTAATTTATTTTTAGTAAATTGAGCGCATGTCGGTGCGACATCTGCCGGTAATAAGCACACAACACCTGCCGTTTAAAATCTGCTACTGAGCAGTTTGGAGCACTCCGCATTTGACTAGATGGGTAGTGAAACTCGATGCAATCAATACATTATACTATGTTCAAACAGCCACCTAATGGGGAAATTAAGAATCTTTCACCAATTTAAGCCTTAATTGCTACCCAATTTATCAAACAAAAATTCTATTTATTATTTGTGTTAGATTCTTACGCAACCCTGCTAGGTATGTTTAATTTTGACTTGGAGGTATGTTTATTGAACAAAGAGCAATCAGCTTTCTGGTCCTTTTCTACAGCTGATAGTGCATCAGGGATGGAAAATTTAATTATAAAATTGTAGCTAATTTACGGAAAACTTTACCTTAAAATAGACGGATGTACCAAAAAAGTAAACATGTATTTCTATATGTATAAAGAAAAATATGAGGATAACAATTCCCTCGATAAAATATCAACTTCTGTACCACATTAAACAAAATTTGGCTATGATAAGAATCTCTTCGAGTAGCGCGAGACGAAACTATGTTGTAGAAAAGGTGAATCACTTTCACACTCGCAGTTCTTCGACCACCCTTCTGTATCTTTTGTATGCCCCTTCACAAAGGAGAGAAGCTATTAGACCAGTTGCCCGCATCAGAAAATGGATTGAAATGTCAATAAAAATAAGAAATAATTTCCTTAGGAGTTATTTGGCTACGTTCCAAATGTACCTAAAATTGTGTGTTTGTACCGAATGTACTTTCAAAGTAAATAAAGGTACGATTATACCAACTTTTCCATCACTGTATGTAATCCAGCAGCTGATTTCGTATCGCAAATTGCGCATTTGTCGTGTGTGTGAACACCAATCTTAATGTCGCAATTTAAGCCTTAATTGCCTCAGCTAATTGGCTTATTTGAATACAGTATATTTTGCTTTGCTGCCTCTATGCTTAAGTGCACATTTAAGATACCTACCTCAAAACGCGCATCAGAGGCATTATTTTTAAAATTTATAAGGAAACTGCTCCTATCGATGTATTCAACATACCTGCACATTGGCGATACCTGCCTTAAAAATTGTGCGACTAGTATCAATTATCAATGAAAGTATTACGTTTACCTGCACTAGCCCTATTTTGCTCATCTCGCAGAACAACGAAAATGGCTATTTATGTAGTTATATAGATAATTAGATAGCAATCGGTAAAAATTTCGCTTGCAGTAATTTCTACATGGTAAGGGCTCCGCCAATATTTGGTTTCATAGGGATTCGGATACCTTCCTCATTGAAGTAGTAAAGAAAATTCGCTTAAGTGCCTTTTTCGGTTACGTACACAAGTTTTTCGTGCAAAGAATGAAGTGCAGCTAAGCAAAATATACTGTATATTAATAACAGTAGCGAAAATATCCGATTGTGCTGTTGTTATTGGCATATTTTCTGTCAGCTGTGTTTGACGACACGCAACACCTACTGGAGAAGAGCGATTAAGAGCTACTGCAGTGTTCCTCAAAACTATTGTATGAAAGGAATTCCAGTTTGATTCTTAACCGAGTCCGGTTTCCGTTAGTCTATTTTGATGCCAAAACTGCAGTTTCGGTGCCAATGTGGTTACAAGTTCCGGCGGAAAATAAGGTTTAACAGTTTTAAAGCTTAGCCATAGTCGCTAATGCATGCGGTAATGCAGTGCAAGCAGATAAAGCAGTGCATCTACGCACTTCGCTTATTTTCGGTTGTTTTAATTTATTTTCTTATCGCTTCCGTTGTATTCCTCAATACCTTCTTTGCCTAAATTTTATCACAAATTTTTTCTTCTTTCCCCTTCGCAGATTACTTGGATTGACGGTCTGGGCAATGTGCTCAGCAAAGGCATCGAATATGTGAAAGAGCCGTTATCAGACTCGAGACGCATAACAGCCAAGTCGATACTGAAGCTGGCACCGAAGAAAGAGCATCATAATACGACTTTTACATGCCAAGCGCAGAATACAGCGGATCGCACATATCGCTCTGCCAAAATACTAATCGAGGTGTGTAAGGCGGCATGAAATTATTTTTGAATTTTTATTCGTTTCAATGCAAATTATCTCCCTGAATTTAGGTCAAATATGCACCCAAGGTAGTGGTAGCCGTCATTGGCGGCGCCTTGGCTGGTGGTCGTATTCTCGAGGGCTCTGAAGTTATACTATCCTGCCAGGCGGATGCGAATCCACCGCCGCAGAGTTATCGTTGGTTCATAAACGATGAATTGGTGACTGGTGATTATACAACGAAAATGGTGAGTTCTGTACATTCATTTCGCTTTCTATTGAGAGAAAAACTCATTGCTTTACTTTATTTGCTTGCAGATCATACACAATGCCACGCGCCAGCATCATGAAGCTTCGGTTAAGTGCGAAGTTGTCAATGCGGTGGGCAAAAGCGAAGAGACTGAAACCTTGGACATCAGCTGTGAGTATTAGAGTTTTAGATATATTTTTTAGATAGAGGTGCACAGATCTTTAAGAAAGAAAGTTCTTTGAAGGGGGTTGATACCTCCGACGCGGTGAAAAGATATTTTCAAACGAGGCACTGAAGATGCGCCTACAACGCAATCAATTTGGGTCCAAACTAAATTTAACAAGAAATGGTAGAAACTCGATGTAAAGAGCGTTCGCTCTCTTTTAATGAGTTTAACCTTCTCTAATCGCCGTCGATGAAACCTATGGTGATCCTATGTTATCCCCTTGGATTTTATTCGATAACCAGTTCTATGAAGGCTCGCACCTCCTCCCGCCTCTGGAAAATTATTTTTTCTAACTTTTTCAAGTGGTAGTTTCGCAGGTGATGTGCCTGATAGTTCGCGCTTTGCTTGGTCATGTACATAATTGGCTCCGGTACAATTGGACGTTTCAAAGATCCGCGGCTCGCCAAATCATCAGCCAGGTTAGTGCTCTGAAAGCCACAGTGCCGAGGTTATTCTATTTTTCAACCATGTACAGCCTCAACTTACATTACTGATCGATTTTTGGTTAGGTATGGGCAAGTTTCAAGGCCTTCAGAGCAGTTTGGTTGTCACTGCAGACCACTACCTTAACTAAGTATTGCCAATAAACCTCTAGTTCTGTTTACCGTCTTGAGACCGTCAGTATATTAAATTTTTACCGAGCTTCTCAATAGAGTTTCTGGATTTCTCCATTCTTTTCTTGTAGAGAAGGTACCAAAGGACATTCCAGATAAAAGTTTGTCATTTGCGCTTTTTTCTGATAACCTTCCAAACAAGTCTCTGTGTCCGGAACTCTGATCTTCGTGCCATAAGTCAAACGACTGAGGTCGACAATATCGACTCGACATATCGTCTCTTCTTGCTCTTGGAGTTTGTAATCCCGGGGTGAAAAATCCCACAGGACACCGTTCTTATTGCCGTTCTTATTACATACAAGGACCTTATTGTTGTGACCAAGGTTCTACGCTGAAATGCTACAGCAGAATGTGCAATGATCACAGGAAATGCCGGTCTCAAACCCCAAGACGCTGACCGACAATTTTAAGTGCCTTTGAAGTTGTGTTACTTCCGGGAAGGTTTCGGACCAAAAAATTGAGATTTTAAAACCTATCTAGAAACTTAATTTTTTAATTAAAATAATCTTTTTTCTTTCAGATGGTCCTATCTTCCGACACCGTCCCATCTCTGTTGAGGCAGATCTCGACACCAATGCCAATTTGCGTTGCGACGTGGATGGTAATCCGACGCCAGAAATCGAGTGGATCAACGAGAATACCGATCAGGTACGTCCATATATTCGTCTCAAACTACAACTTCAAATGATTATCTCTCACATAACTGTGTAAAATGTTCTCTCATTAATATTTACTAAATTATTTCCAACAGGTCGTTGGCACTTCGGCGAATCTTACACTTAAAGTGACTGCTGAGTCTGCTGGCCGTTACTACTGCAAGGCAATAGTTTCCGGATTTCCAGAAATAGGCGCCGAGGCAACGATTTTCGTTAAGCGTGCACCGATTATCACCTCGCATAAGGTGCAATTCGGTGCTGTGGGGAGTCGAGCGAAAATCGATTGTGTGGCTTTCAGTGTGCCCAAAGCAGAGCAGATTATTTGGTCATTCGATGGCAAGGTGATAAATATGAGCACTGCCGATCCAGATATATACATTTTCGAGGAACAACATCTGCCAGAGGGTGTGCGCGCAGCGCTAATAATCAAAGAGAGTCGCTCCAGTCATTATGGTCGCTACAATTGTACGGTGATGAACTCGTATGGTAGTGACTCATTGTTGATCAATTTAAGACCAGAACGTGAGTTTTAGAGATTGAAATGAGCTTTTGTGTTGTTTTTATTATTGAAAATTCTTTTCCAATTGCTTTGCCAGCTGGTTCAGTGCCCGTGCTGCTTGTCGTTATGGGCTCACTCTCCTCGGTCGCCATTGTAATAATGATTGTGATGCTGGTGATTGTTTACATGAAACGCAGTAATAAGAAACCCATGCCGGCGGATGTCATACCGGAGGCATCGCGTGGTGGTGATAAACTTTCCGATCTGAAGAACGAATTACGCAGCAAAGCTTATGATGTTGATTACTCAGAGGCGGGCTCTGATGGTTTGGCGATCAATCTGACGCAAACATCCATGCCTGATGTACAAATGAAGGGCGCCACGCTGGGTGTGCCACTGGCGGGGCCAGTGAAGTTGGACGACAGGTGAGACTCAGCGCATTCCTTTTATGGCAAGTGCGTTTTAATAAAATAATTTTTATTATACAGGTTCTCCGGCGAATTCAGTTACAGCCGCCAATGCCACATCAAAAATTTGAAGAACAAAGAGACTGTCAACGGTTATGCGCCCTATTTTGAGTACGCGCTCGACTATAGTGCTCCCACGGAGAGTGGCAAGC